GACCCTCACAATCAGTCCTGATAACAATTATTCACTATTGTATCACAGGGGACCTGTGATACAATAGACCCGTCTGCATTTCATTGCATCAGCTCCGCCTGGACTATGCTATGTTGATTCCAAAGTGTTCTAGTTCTTTCTTCCATAGGTAACCGGGCCAGAATTTGATTTGGGTTGAATTCTATTTGTTTTTTTTTCTTATGCTTTCCCACCAACTGACTACAAGAGATGAGAGAACTTTGTTAACTGAAAGGAAGAAAGGGATCTCTTCACCCTTCCAACTGACATGCTACTTCATAACATTCCTCCTGGTAATATTTTGGTTGACAATACGTTTCTCTTGCCACTGACTCAGGAATCAGAATGGGTTACCTGAAAGATATGATAATTAGTCCAGAGATGCTGGCAAGATTGCCAAGGGGAATTGTTATAAGCGTTGGCAGGTGGACTGCTTACCTTGTGGATTATTTCTGGCTTCTTTTGACCACTTACGGAGGAAAATCAGGGAGAAAGCAAAAAGCTGGATCTTGAGGCATATTTGGAAGGTAACCCAATGGAGACTGTGTATATGGTTACGAATTGGGCTGCGAACTGCAAGGTCAGCAGTTCGAAACTACCAGCTGTTCGTGGGAGAAAGATGAGGCTTTCTGGTCCCGTAAAGATTTACAGCCTCGGAAACCCTGTAGAGGGTCACTATGAGTCGGAACTGACTCCACAGCACATAACAACAGCACCATATGGTTCATAGTTGCTGCCATAGTAAATCGTACAAAGCGTAGTCATTTTTCCCACAATATTGTGGAGTGTTTGAGCCAGAACTGTGGAAAGATAGGGCATAAGACAGCTGTGAATAAGACAAAACTCTCTTCTCCCTTCATGGTGTTCAGATCCATGTGGAGGAAACAGATGAAGAAACAAATAATTAGGAGCCCTGGTGACATTGCAGGATAAGCACTGGACTGCTAACTGCCAGGTCAGCAGTTCAAACCCACCAGCGGCTCTGTGGGAGGAAGATGAAGCTTTCTGTTCTTGTAAAGGTATACAGCTTTGGACAGCCTATAGAGGGTCACTCTGAGTTGGGACCACCTGGACAGCACCTGACTACACCTCATTCACAAAGCTGTGTAGCCACTTCCCTAGTGGGCAGACTTCCAATGAAACTTGAGGGTGCCCTGGGGAAATTCCTGGAGGAAGTGAGGTCTAAATGGGACCCCACAGGAGAATCAGACACTAGCAAAGTGCCCAGGGTTGGGGTTAGAACAGAGGGAAAACAAACAGATTTTAAGAACTAAAATGATTGCATTTGGATATGGCTTTAGCAGACGGAATGTAGAGAGCATCCCTACAGGTAAAAACCTGCTCAGACTTTGGAAAATGGTGTAGGTGCATCTGAGATTCAGAATGTCCCCATGAATTGAAGATGGCTTATTAGAATGTGCAGGTAATCCGTTTACCAGTTTACGGAGGAGCCCTGAGCCTATAGATACTGGCAGGCAAAAATAGGTTCAGATCTCTCTACTGTGTGCCCCATGAGTCAGTTCCCTCTCACTGAGGCAGAGAGCGCCCTCTAGTGGAAATGAAGAACTTTTCAGATGCCTCACTGGCCCCAATTATGTTAAGTGCCATTGAGCTGATTCTAACTCATAGCAACCCTGTATAGGGTTTCCAAGGTGCTACTGATGGGTTTGAACCACCTACCTTTCTATTAGCAGTCCAGTGCTTATACTATAGCACCACACCAACTGTATGCATGTTGACTGTGATTCTGTGAAGCTGCCATCAGCTGAGAGGCAGCAAAGGCTACGGATTTTCTGAAACCCAAAGTGCTATTTCCCGTGAAGAGGCACTTGATTTTATGATCTAACTTTTAGTCCTTTTGATATGCCTCCTAAGAAGTTTCTTTGTTGAGGAATATTACAACAAAACAAAACAGCAGAAATTAAAGAGGGCATGTAGTAAGTAGTTAAGTGCCATCGAGTCAGTTCCGACTCATAGCGACCCTGTGTAAGGTTTCCAAGGAGTGGCCTGGTGGGTTTGAACCGCTAACCAGAAGGAATGCAGACTACAGCTAAAATGGGGGCTCTTAGTTACTTCTTCCCCAATGTTACATAGCTTTGGCCAGGAGAAGGGAGCTAGTAAATGGACCGGCTTCCTAGCAGGTCATTAATGTTTCCAGTGCTAGCAATGGAACATGAATTTGTTCTCAACAATTCTAAACAGTTGTTGAACAGTAGCTTAGGAATATGACTTTGAAGTGACACCAAAGGTCCAGTCAGCGTAAGGGTGTCTGTGTGTGTGCACGGTGGTAAGACAGGAGGGTCCAGTGTCTAAAATCCCACCTCCCTTTCTAGGAGGAAAATTGTGTTGTGAATGTGAGAGTCTTCAGCTTCATTTACCTACTTCATGAAGAGTTCACAGTTCAAGGAGAGGATCTGCATCCATCAGCTGTCTGTCAGTGTGTCGTGCTGTGATGGTCTGCATGTTCTGAGACTGGAGGCTAGGCCACTGGTACCTTAAATACCAGCAGGGTCACACATGGTGGACAGAAGAAAAGGCAAAGCAATCTACTTCCAAAAGTTAGCCCCCAAATTAGTCAGAGAGAACCCTGCGTGTCACAACATAACACCGCCCAACTCACTTGCTTTGGACATGTCCAGAAATCCATCACTGGGCATGGGCATCCTGTTTGGTGAAGTAGAGGCCCAGCCAGGGTGAGGGGACCCTAAGTGAGCTGGATTGGCACAGTAAGCACTAGGATGCTAGTGGTGAAGGGGTGATGCATGCTTCTTTGTGTTACAAATCTGGACATCCTGGTGGCTACCCATTCTATCTAGAGAGAATGAAAACGCTTTAAGTGACTTGTTGTTAAGAGCCATTGAGTCAGTTCCAACTCATAGGGGATCCTATAAGGTTTCCAAGGAAATCCTGAAATAAAGCAGCTACTTTTCTTTCTTTCTTTTTTTCTTTTCTGTTTTTAAGTTGGGGAGAAATTTATTTCTCTCTAGAATCCTCTAGGTGGTGCTGTTGCCATAGACATTGGCTAGGAAGGTTTTTAGTGCTGGGTTATCAAACCAAATACTTAGTTTATTGAATGTATTATGTTGTTGTTAAGTGCTGTCAAGTCAATTCTGACTCAGAGTGACCCAGTGTAGGGTTTCCGAGGAGTGGCTGGTGAGTTTGAACTGATGACCTTTTGGGTTCAAACTGACCTTGAGGTCTAGAGCTTACCCTATGTATGGTACCTATATGATACTGTTGATAATTTATAGCATCACATTTATTGAGACAGAAGGGACAGTGTCCTGTAGACAGTAGGTGCTCTATTAATATTTGATAAATGAGTTACTGTTATTTCTATCTCACTAGTTATTAGAGATGAGATCACTAGCTGAATTAAGCCTTCTAAAACCCGAGTCAGACAGTGTGGCTTATCTTTGCTAGTGAAAAGAGGAGGGGGGCATTTTTTTTTTTTTGAAATTTCTGAAAACAGCCCAAGATCATGTTTTTTGTTTTTTAAAATCTTTGCTGTACTTTAAAAGCAAATTGGCTTTCAGGTTGGTTCCACTGAAATGCAGGAATGGTATGAAATTTTTGGTTGATAATTGCTTGAATCTTAATCAAGATTTTATTAAAATCAATATTTGATATGCTTCTCAATCTAATTACATTAAACCGTAGAGAAATGAGTAATAAATGAGATTGAAAATCAATCACAAGGTAAGGGGAATGTGTGTGTTTTAAATTAGCTTAACATGTGAATTGTTGGGTTAAGCAACTGCTACGAAATGACCCCACCCCACTACACTTCTGTGGAGCTACAGCATGAACAATTGATAGGGATGCACCTAGCCTCTGTCCAGGACGGTTGATTCCACTGGAAAATGGCAGAGCGGGTTATAACACGAAGCACGTCTTTCCCACTTCCTCAGATTGCTAGCAGATAGGAAGACAAAGCACAGATCGATCGCAGTTCACTTTAGAGACAGACGTTGCTGGTGACTCTCTTTGTAAAAGGTGTGTAGCCTTGGCGGACACTCTACTTATTGTCAATTTCTGTCAGGCTGGCCCGGCTCACAGTGACCCCGTGCACAGCTGAACCTACCTGCTGTGCTCCATCGTGTTTTCAGTGGCTGATTTTTGGAAGCAGATAACCAGAACTTTCTTCCTAGCATGTTTTAGTCTGAAACCTGTTCAACACCAGAGCCAAACATCCACGGCCAGATGCGTGTTGGTTAGGAATCGAATTGGGGCCTCTCAGACCAGTGGTTAGAAGGAGGTGAAACCCAAATCAAAAGCATGGATGTTGACTAAGTGCTTCTGAGTCCCACGGACAGAATACAGTTTCTTACTGTATAATTTATGCTTATTGAGAGCGGCAGAGATTTATGGCTGTAACAAAGGAGTGTTCTAATTGGGATTAGCTAATGAAAAAGTGGCAGGCACTGGAGATGTTGAGAGCAGGAAAATGTGATTTCAGTTGAGGTGTTTCTGCTCTCGTGGGACATTAACAAAAGAGCCAGTATTATGCGCTGGGGCAGGAATCCTACTTCTAATTAGGCCTTCAGAGTTTGTGCTTGCAGTTTTGGCCTGAGTATTCTTAGTCATCCAAAGCATGGACTTCAGGAAACCAGTGATGTTTTCGTTAAACTCCATTGGCGATGAGAAGGGGCCTGTCGCTTCCTTGGAATCTCCCTTTTAGTCAGGGCCCATTGGGCAGGATGAAAAATCCACCATAACAACCACACAATGGTGTGATTTCTCCACCCTAGGCTGAGAGGAGTTCTTCCTTCAAGTCTCTGCTTTCTACACTTGAGCCGTAGATGTATCACGTGAACAGTTTTTGCCATGCCCTATACCCTTTGTGGTACTTGAAATTCCCATCTAAAATGGTTCACTGTCAAAATTCAAACGGACTCCACTGATTTTTAAAGCAAGCTCTATTTCATGAACTTCACTGGAAACCATTCACTTGTCCTAAGCAGTAAAAAGAAATACAATTAAGTCAAGGCAGTGTTAGTAAATTTTAACTCTAAGAGAGGGCTCAGAGGACATATATGTACCAAAGTGAGACTTTCTCTTTGATTACAACTGAGAATTAAAAAAAAAAAAAAAAAAAGGGAATAGTTTTGTCATTAGTTGGGTCAGTTTTTTCCAATGAAGTGCCCATATCCCCCTCAAAGCCTGCCCCCCAGCTCTGTGACCAACAGCCCACATGCCATGAAGTGTCTGTATTCACCTCAAAGCGTGCTCCCCAGCAGAGGATATGTCCCACACTCTGTGACCAACAGCCCACATGTCTTTGCTTCCACCCCCTTTTCTTAATCATATTTACCCAAATGGTGTCAAACCATGTTTTCCACCCTTTTAATTTCACTCATCTCATTTCTGAACATTTAGAGGGCTCTATTCATCAACACTTGGGGTAGTGGGCAATGAATAGCTTCTAATTGTTGGTCAGTACTCATTTTCTTCTTCATATCATTTGTTCTTGATGACTTTTCTCTAATCAGATACAGCAAATTTCTAGTAGCAAAATAACTGTGCTGAAAAATATGTCCAACCAAATACTCTGACACGAAGGAATGAAAAACATATGAACTAAATTTCAGTTTCCTGCATAGTACCAGCCTGTCAAAGCTCATCTAGATATTAAATAAGTGAATGGAGAAGACATAAATTATGAGTAGGAAAAAAAGGAATTCTAGCCATATATTCATTTGGACCTTACTCACTGAGTAAGGTTATTGATCTTAATGAGCCTCTGTATTTATTTATGGGGGTACGGTTGCTTTACAGGGTAAATGCTGGACTACAAGCCACAAGGTCCATGGTTCGAGTCCACAACTGGCTCCATGGGAGAAAGATGAGGCTTTCTGCTCCTGCAACAATTTGCAGCCTTGGGAAACGACATACAGGATCTCTAGAAGTCAAAACGGACACTGTGGCACTTCACAACAGCAATCTGTTTATGTTTTTTCTGTGTTTATATTCCTTGTGACGCAGTTGCTGGCTTCTAACTAGACCCTCACTGATAACACTCTCACTTTGTAACAGTGTGAAAACCAGGCATCTAACTTGTTAATTCAGAGCCACTACTGCACATGTAAGAGCTCTGGTAGCATAGTGGTGACGAGGTGGGCTAACCGTAAGGTCAGCAGTTTGAAATTACCAGCTGTTCTGTGGGAGAAAGATGAGACTTTCAGCTCTTGTAAGGGTCGCTATGAGTTGGAACCAACTCCATGATACATAACCATGACTGCAAATACAGGGTGCGCTCTATTCACTGGCAGAGACTCAATTTGTAGATAATGGGATTTTACTTTGGGCCGGATGTGCTGGATGGTTGACTTTGGTATTATGTATTAATAACCCCCTTCTAGATAACTGTCTAGATAACTAGATAACTTCTAGATAACTAGATAGCTGTCCTTTATACTAATTGTCTTCTCATAGTATCGTACTAGTATTTTAAACTTCTTTAATTTGTCATTTGTTCATTCATTGACTTTCAAAATAAGCTCATATTTTGAAAGGACTGTGTATCTCTTAAATTTTTCTAGATGCTGGTGATGTGAAGATTGTGGATTTCTGTCCTCAAGAACGCTGTAGAAAAATAGAGAGTGGTGTAGCTATCAATGCAGTCAGTACACGACAAGGTCTGCAAGCGAGGTAAGTAACCCAGTGAGTAGAGCACAGCAGAGGGATGACAGTTGTGTGTTCAGCCCTGTGTGACTTGTGTTCACATACAGGGCCTGGTTTCATTCTTACAGCATTCAGCTGCTTCTTCCTTTATGATTTTCAAAGTTGTTGACTCATCACAACCTTCCACGTAACATAGCGAAATACTTCCCAGCCATGTGCATCTTCACAAATGTTACAAAATACTTCCAGTCATGTGCCACCTTCACAGTTGTTACAAAATACTTCCCAGCCATGTGCCACCTTCACAAATGTTACATTTGAGCCCATTGCTGTGGCCAATGTACCAGTCCATACCTCTCTGGGGGGCTTCCTCTTCTTTGCTGACCCTCCACTTTACCAAGCAGGATGTCCTTCTCCAGGGACTGGTCCCTCCTGACAACATGACTGAAATATGAGAGACGAAGTCTCACTATCCTGGCTTCTAAGGAACGCGCTGGCTGATCTTCCTCCAACACAGATCTGTTTGTTCTTCTGACAGTCCGTGACACTTTTCATTTTCTCCTCCAACACCAGAATTCAAAGCGTTGTTGTTAAGTGCCATCGAGTCAGTTCTGCCTCATGCCGACCTTATATGGGGTTTCTGAGGAGTGGCTGGTAGGTTTGAACTACCTCCTTTGTGGTTAGCAGTCCAGTGCTTATCCCACAGTGTCACACTAGGACATGAGATACCCCAGTGACCATCAAGTTCTCCTTCACCATGCTGTAGACTATGCTATGCAGAAAAGTATATCCATATCAGTGAGCGAGTAGCTCACTTCCACGTAAGAGAAATCAGATGGGAGAGAGTGCCTCCATGTGCCATTCTAGAATGTTCTCAAGAGGCTTGGTCTAGGAGCGTCTGTTTTCTGTGCCTGTGATTGGTGGGGTGGGAATGGTGGTGTACCTATTTCCTCTGTTTCCAATACACCCCTTGGAATCCTGTACCTAGATTCCTTTTCTTAGGTACTTGGCAAGATTTGGAGATTGTTGCAAACCCCCA